CTGGCTGCACGTGCTGTCTGGCACCCACTCAGGCAGGCGGCGGGCACCTGCAGGGCACAACACATGGGTAAAAGCCCCCCGTCCTGTCCCCCACAATGGCCCCAGGAACACCCCCAGCCCCCTAGGTCAGCGGCACCCCAGGCAGCCCCGTACCTGCCCTCTGGAGCCCAGCAGCATCCGTGGGGCTGGAGCACAGGGGGCAGTCAGCCACGCGAGAAGTATCTGCTGCACACAGGTCACCGTCCTCTTCCTCTGCGGGGACAAGGGCTGTGGGGGTCCAACCAAACCAGAGCTGGACCCATGGGGCTGAGCACTGTGGTCACATTGTCCCCACGTCCGGGGTCGCGGCTTTGTCTCGCCAGGGAGATGGGCACAGAGAGGAGCTGTGCCTGCTGTCCCTGGGGGTTACTCACGGCTGGCACTTGGCTCCTCCGATGGCTCCGCCTGCGAGGTGATGATCTTGAAGACTGTTTTCAAGATGCTCCGCAGGTCGCTGGCAAAGTTGGTCTGGAGCTGATCGGCCACCCCTGCACCAGAGGAGGTCGCGGCTTTGTCTCGCCAGGGAGATGGGCACAGAGAGGAGCTGTGCCTGCTGTCCCTGGGGGTTACTCACGGCTGGCACTTGGCTCCTCCGATGGCTCCGCCTGCGAGGTGATGATCTTGAAGACTGTTTTCAAGATGCTCCGCAGGTCGCTGGCAAAGTTGGTCTGGAGCTGATCGGCCACCCCTGCACCAGAGGAGGGAGGAGGGTTAGGGTGCTGTGGGGGGTTGTGTGTCAGGGTGCTGGGAGGTGTGGTGAGGGGGTCACTCACCCGAGATGCAGACGAAGAGAGTGTGCAGCATGTCCTTGGTGCTGCTGTAGCGGGAGCGCAGCTCCAAGCAGCAGGCACCTGTAGGGGCATTGAGCCCTGTCCCTGGGCTGCTCCCAGGAGGCTGGGGGCTGCAGAAGGGGGAGGTGACAGTTACCCCAGGGGTGGCACAAAAAGCCCCCTTCTCAGCAGGCAAGGATCTACCGTCTTGGTCCCGCTCCCTCCCTGCCACACACCCCCACTGCCAATTGGTGCCCAGGTTGTCCACCGTGCCAGGGGGTCCCAGCCGCGCCATGCAGGTGGGGGGTGGTGGGGTGACGTGGGGGACCTCCAGGAGACCCCAAGGAGCAGGGGTGTCCGCTCTGGGCACAGCTGCCCCCCAAGCTGGTGGGGTGGCTGGACCGCAGGGATCCTCTGGTTCGGCTTTGCACAGGCTCCTCTCCAGCAGGCAGAGCTCCTCCACCGACAGCACCCGCAGCAAGTCCCTGCGGCAAGGGGACAGCATCAGCCCTATATCACAACCCCACTGCTGCCCCACCAACCCGCCCATGGGCACCCATCACTCCCCACCGTGTACCTGATCTTCTTCAGGAGGTTGTAGAAGGGGCTGAAGACTCGGGACATCTGCTCAGAGCTCCGCTCCAGGCTGAGGGGACCCTCGGGGTAGATGAGGAGGCCACTGCGAGAGGACAGAGCTGAACTCATGGCAGGGGGGTGCCCAGGACCCCAAGTCCAGAGGGGGAGAAGGGGCTGGTACAGGGCAGGGAGCACCCAGCCACCCCCGTCACCCCTTCTCCAGGGGGCTGCACCCACCTAATAATGGCCAGGCGAGGGATGGAGAACATCAGCAGTGGTTCGTAGCCATCGATCATCTCCTGGGTCAGGTAGCCCAGGCGCAGGGCTCTGGGGGCAGGGAGACACCCTTACAGTGGAACCGAGCCCTGGGACGCTCCCCCATCCCCGGGGCTTGGGTCACTGCCACCCCCTGCTCCTCACCTCTCCACTGTCTCACAGAAGAGCACGATGATCTCCTGCTGCCTATAGATCTCCTCGGGAGACTTCACTGCCACCAGTGAGGACACATAGCTGGAGAGATGGGGAGACCGTGAGGCTCCTCCAGCCCCGACATGACCCCCCCCTCACCCCAGCATCCTAACTCTGTCTCCCACCTGAGCTCAAACTCTGCGAAGAGCCGGTCGAACTGGACAAGCACAGCCCGGACGGGCTCTGGGTAGGAGCCGGGCTGGCTCAGGCTCTGCTCCCGCAGCACCGTCCGCACCAGCTCCAGGCTGCACAGCAGGTTCCTGGCCTGAGGCCGCAGCTGCACCCCGTCTGCCTCCTCCAGCTCCAGGAAGGTCCCGGCCAGGAGACACTGCCAGGACCAAGGGGGGGGCCGTCAGGATCCAGCTCCTGGGGCAGCACAGCCCCTACCCCCAGGGTCAGCCCGTGGTGGGGTGCGCCGTCGTGGCTGGCACCCATTGCCTTGCAGCCTGGGGGAGCCAGATCCCATCGCCCGCCCCGGGACAGCATCCCCGGGCTCACCTCGGCGGCAAACAGCATGTGGTTCCCCAGGTTGTCCACCAAGAGCTCCTCGGGGAACTTGACCAGGTAGTCACGGCTGTGCCGCTGCGTGGGGATGCACTCCTCCATGATCCGCTGCCGTCGTGGCTGGCACCCATTGCCTTGCAGCCTGGGGGAGCCAGATCCCATCGCCCGCCCCGGGACAGCATCCCCGGGCTCACCTCGGCGGCAAACAGCATGTGGTTCCCCAGGTTGTCCACCAAGAGCTCCTCGGGGAACTTGACCAGGTAGTCACGGCTGTGCCGCTGCGTGGGGATGCACTCCTCCATGATCCGCTCCAGGACGGCCAGCAGCTGAGCCTGAGGAGGGCAGGGACGTCACCTGTGGCCACCCAGGGGGGACCGGGGGCATGCTGGGGCCCGGCCTGCCCCCATACCTGGCTGAGATGGAGCTGGTTGAGGAGCACCAGGTACTGCTGCGGGTCCAGCTCGGCATCCAGCCCGTTGATCTCGGCCACCACCCGTGTCACCCTCTCGTCGGCAAAGAAGAACTGGGAGAGCAGGCGGGGGTCGGAGCGCTGCGGGGAGAACAGAGGGGCGACGGCGGGGGCACCCTGTGGCTCCGTGTGTGGGGCCAGGGGGACCCCAGATCTCCAATGCCCAGAGCCAGGGGGGTCGGTGGCTGCTGGGGTTTGCTCCCCTGCAGCTGGTCCCCACGGGGCAG